AGAGAGAGAGAGAGAGAGAGAGAGAGAGAGAGAGAGAGAGAGAGAGAGAGAGAGAGAGCTAGGAGTGTGTGTGTGTGCAGGGGAACCATTCCTCCTTGCCTTTGCCGCCTGTTTATGACACTATGATCAAGGGTTCAAATCCTGCTTTTCCAAGTGACTCACTTTCTACCTTGTGTGTGTGTGTGCAGGTGAAGCATCCATCGCTGCCTTTGCCGCCTGTTTATGACATGACGATGAGGGCGATAGCTCATGTGCTTTCGTGTGAGGGAGAAGTCCCATCAGTGGGAAGGCCGATGTGGACAGGTCCTGAGGAGGTGAATCAGGAGATGTGGTCGGATAGCCGACGTCAGACATGGCAGGCGATGGGAACCTTCTCAGATGAGCCAGAATGGGAAGGAAGGGGGGGGAGGGGGAGGGGGAGGGGGTATGGCGGAAGTAGTAGCAGCAGGGTTAACCAGAGTGGAAACCGACGGGGAGGCGGCGGGAGAGGGCGTGGTGCTCGCGATCCGGACATGCAAATTCTGCAATCCAGGGGTGGGGGCAGAGGCCCAAGGGTAGGTGGTATGGGGGGTGGCGGCAGCGTTGGAGAGTGGTCTGGGTTCATGAATAAAAGGCAAAGGGAAACTGGGGGCATGTGACGGGATTGCGGTCGGACCGCGCGGCGGCGCTTTCGTGACTCGCAGCACGCAAGAAGCAGCAGCAAAACGACTGCTACAAATGACCGGCATGATGAGTTCAGCAAGCAAAGCGGCGTTTCTGGGGCGTAGTGTATGCGATCACGACGGAGCACCAGATTGCCCCTCCTACTGGCAGATTCACAATGTGTCTCGTGCATTTCTCCGCCTTTCTCGAACATAACACCGGGGGTATTCCAAAAAAAGAACAGAAAAACAGATGGGGGTATTTCACCTCCATGCCGAGGGGGGGTGTTGATATCTGTACGTTGACGTTCATTGGTGTTTTATGTGTGTTCGTACCCAATCGCCCAGGCAGCCCCCTCTCATGGGAATGCCCTTGTCAGATTGGTGCAGGGGGGAACTCCCCAGTACTTCCCTGTTGTGGTATATGAGGTCGCTCAAGTAGACCGCGTGTCGGCTGCTAGGATCAACTTCTGGTCCTCTTGGTCTATACTCACTCTCCTTAACGGCGATAAGTAGATCCGATCCTTCGCGTCTGCTCTGCAACGGAGCTCACTCTTTGTACCTGAATGTACTCTTTGTCCAGGTTCTGGTCCTCCTGGTCTATACTCTCGCTCCCCTAAACAGGGATAGATAGAGTCGTGTTTGTGTAGAATGTTGCACAGAAAGGTGTAGATTGAACAGAAAAGGTGTAGGCTTAAGGAGAACCAGTGTGCCCCCCTCCCACGCCCCTGTCCTCTCCCCATCCCACCTGCCCACCCCCACCCTGCCCCCCCCCCCCTTTTGTTTTCCGCCCTTTGTCTGTGTGTTGGTGCCAGCACAACAGCGTTGCTCATTGCCTCAACGACATTGGATATCAATTGCAATCCGATGGCGATCGTATTTTGCAGCTTCAAAGGTCAGCTTTGCAACCTGTCGACGATGAGTTTTAACTTTTAAGTTTTAAGTTTCCGAACCGGTTTCAGTTTCAGAACTGTAGTTTGAAACCTTAACCTGTGCAGGAGTTTAAGTTTCTAAACCAGTTTCTAAACCAGTTTCTAAACCAGTGGAGGAGTTTAAGTTCCAGAACCAGTTTCTAAACCAGTTTCTAAACCAGTGGAGGAGTTTAAACCACCAGTACTTGGCCCAGCTATCGATGCCGAGCCTGGAATGCCCCAGCGCGTCAGTTTTGCCGAAGCGCCGGGGTACCGTTTCAATTTTTTTTTGGCTGGCGCTTCCAGCCATTGTGGTCTGGTACCCCGAAGGCCTAAAGGCGAGGCGCGTTAACGGGGAAGCGCCGCGGCCAATAGCTGGGCCAAGTACTGGTGGTTTGAATTCCAGAGCCAGTTTCTTCTAGCTTTGCAGTTCGGCTTCAAAAAAACGGCTCTGGCGTCCGAGTTCAGCTTAAGAACCAATTCTAGTTTTTGGAGTTCAGCTTTGGAAGCGGCTCTAGCTTCAGAGTCCAGCTTGAGAACCAGTTCTAGCTTTTTGCAGTTCAGTTAAAAAAAAACGGCTCTACCTTCGGAGTCCAGCTTCAGAACCAGTTCTAGTTTTGCAGTTTAGCTTTAAAAAAAACAGCGCTAGCTTAGCAGTTCAGCTTTCAAACTGGTTCTGGCTTTTTGCAACTCAGCTTCAAAACCGGCGAAAGCTTCGGAGTTCAGCTTTCGGACTTGTTCTATCTTGCGGTTCAGCTTCAAATCCGGCTCTAGCTTCGAAGTTTGGCTTTCGAACTGGTTCTAGCTTCGGAGTTTGGCTTTAGAACCGAGCCTAGTAGCTTTGGAGTTTGGCTTCAGAACCGAGTCTAGCTTCGGAGTTCAGCTCCAAAAGTTTGGAGCTAGCTTCGCAGTTCAGCTTTCAAACTGGTTCTGGCTTTCCGCAGTTCAGCTTCAAAACCGGCGAAAGCTTCGGAGTTCAGCTTTCGGACTTGTTCTATCTTGCGGTTCAGCTTCAAGTCCGGCTCTAGCTTCGGAGTTTGGCTTTCGAACTGATTCTAGCTTTCGGAGTTTGGCTTTAGAACCGAGCCTAGTAGCTTCGGAGTTTGGCTTCAGAACCGAGGCTAGGTTTGGAGTCCAGCTCCAAATGATTGGCGCTAGCTTCGCAGTTCAGCTTTCAAACTGGTTCTGGCTTTTTGCAGTTCAGCTTCAAAACCGGCTCTAGCTTCGGAGTTCGGCTTCAGAATAAGCTCTATCTTTGCAGCTAAGCTCTAGAAAAAAAAGGTCTCTAGCTTCGCGGCTTCAAAACCGGCTCACGCTTTGGAGTTCAACTTTCGAACTGGTTTTAGCTTTTCGGAGTTTGGCTTTACACGGGGGGTCGTAAATAAGGGAGAGGCTGTGCAGGAATTCGGCTTTCGGAGTAGTTATAGTAGCTCCGCAGTTCCGTGTCAGGACCTGTTCTTAGCTTCGGTGTTCAGCTTTACGGATCTTAGCTGCGAGGTCATTCTAGCTTCGCAGTTCGCCGTCGGCGCTGTCTGGTTCTCGCTTTCAAAATAAGAGGTCGCGGGCGTCGTTCAGACTCTTCCCAGCAGCCCCTTTCTACTTGTGAAGCAGCCTGCGACCTCCTATCTCAGCGGAACTGTCGGAGATTCGGTCAGATATCTCTTGAGTCAGCGGAACGGCCGGAATCCTTGTGAGATTGTATTTCACAACCAGTTTAAAGTTTAAACCAAAAAAAAAAAAAGAGGAGTTTGGGAAGGACGTGTTTCCTTTTGATTTCTTGGACGCTGCAACTCTGCCGATGAGCCCGTGGGCAGCAACTACTCTGCTGATGAGCCCTGCTGAATCTTTCCTCCCTGTTGATTGTCCGCACTGACGCATTAAGCAAAGAAAAAATGGATTCAATTTCTTAGTGCATGACGCTCTCTCCACCTTGGGCCAAGGTGGAGAGACCGTCATGCGCCAAGAAATCGAATCCCTTCTTTTTTCTTCAATGCATTGCTGCGGACAATCGACAGGGAGGGAAAGCTTCAGGGCTGGTTCTGGCTTTGGAGTTCCAGCTTCGGAGCCTGCTGCTGCTGCGGAGGAGTTTAGCCTCGTAACCGTTCTAGCTCCGGAGTTGCTGTAATGCTTTGGAACTGGTCCTGGCTTTTGTAGTTAAACCCCCCCGGGCCTCCGCATGATGCTCTCTCCACCTTGGCCCAAGGTGGAGAAAGTGTCATGCGCTAAGAAATTGAATCCCTTGTTGTAGTTTTAAAACCACCAAGTACACCCGGGCCTGGCGGTGCTGCACGGCACTGCATTGCACACCAAGCTTTTTGCTGAATCGCCCGCCAGCGGTGCACATTTTTTGTTTCTTGCAAAAGAGGGCCTGGCCCAGCCATTGTGGTCCGGTAGCTCTGAGCTTCTGAGCGAGACGCACAGATCTTGCACGACCGGGGCTGTGTACGTTTTTTTTTTGGCGTTTTCTGGTTTAAGGTTTGGAAGTTGGAAGTGGTTTGATCAGATTTTTACTTTTATCGGGCTGGGGTTGCGCTTTCGGAAACCGCTTCCGGCTCCGTAGCGGCGGAAGTAGCCCTGGAAAGTTGATGTTGTCCTCTTCTCATTGGAGGAGAGATTGCTGTCTGGCGAACTGTGCGCGGATCACCAAGCTAGTAGGAAATTCCCCTACAGAGAACCTGAGGACTTGGAGCCTGTTCTCCTTTGATTTTGAAGCTGTTGCAAAATTTGTTGCTTTTACAGCCCCTAGTTGAAATCTTGTTGCTTTTTTTACCCCTGACTCCCCCTGAGTTTAAACTTGAAAAGTAATTGTGGTGTTTGCTGCTTTTGCTTGGAGGAACAACCTTTGTGCACTCGTTCCACGCCAACGTCTGTACAGACGAAACTTCGATGGCAACCTGGCAGGTAGAGTGAAAAAGAAGAAAAAGAAGAAGAAGAAGAAGAAGAAGAAGACGAAGAAGAAGGCAGGTAGAGTTAAAAACCACTAGTACCTTTGCCGAGTGGGACCGGCCTCTTATTCGTTAAAAGTTTGGGAAAACTTCCAGTTTTCCTAGGCTACCAGAGTGGCCGGGGACCACGTGCCCGGCGGGGCCGAAAAAAACTAAAAGTGAAAAGATTTTCTGGACTTAATTTTTTGTTTAAAATTTGGTAAGGAATTTTGATGTGAACCTGAGGCAAAAGTTGTTCAGCAGGGTTGCCGGCGTTCGGGACGGGCCGAACGACCAAACTCGAACGCCCGAACGTTTGGCACCCCCTCTCGACGCGTTCGGCCGTTCGGCCGAACACGGACCTTCAAAAAAAATTGTAATAAATAAAATCTGAAAAAAATAGATGTTATGCAGAAGAATAAACTAAACAACATTTGCCTCAACGTTACATCCAAATTCTTTACCAAATGTGAAATAAAAATCAAATACAAAAAAAATGATAATAATGAAAATTGGAAAGAAAAAAAACGAGAATGAAATTATTGAGTGGACGAGAACGTTTTTGACACCGCCATCTTTGACGATTTTTCATTTCTTTTTGGCTGTGACAAATGCCATGAAATTTTGTATATGTGTATCTTACATAATAGAGAATCTACAAATAAATTTTGAAAAAATAATAATTTTTTTCATTCCCCGAAATAAAGGAAAAACAAAAAGTGAAAAGAGAGAAGAAAGAATTAGTGAGTGGGCAAGCAAGTTTTGACGTCACATCTTTGCCGATTTTTCATGTTTGTTTGGCTGAACGGAATGGCTTCGAAAGTAAGAGGGAGATACCTTACATCACAAAGACCTCACGAAATTGTATTCAGAAAAAATATATATATACCTCGTTTGTTGTCCTCTTCTCCCTCTCTGCCTACGGTTTACCGGGCAGTTCTATTTGACGATATATATTTAGTTGCCAAAATATTGTTTTGCGGGATCCGAACACCTTCAGGTTCGGGCCCTGTACGGGGACCCGAACGCCCGAAAGTTCGGGAGTCACTCAGCTAAGGGGCCTCCGTACGTTCGACCCGGCAACCCTGTTGTTCAGTCTATTTTTTGAACTTTTTTTGAAGTTATCTGTTTTTTTTTTTCTTTTTCTTTTTTTTTTCTGGGAACCTTTCTGGCCCTTGCACGGCCAGGCTGCGTGGGCAAACAAGGTGACTACCTGGGCGGCCCAACTGGTAGCCTTGCAGTTTTCGCTGTTTTCTCAACACTTGCGGAGGTTCCCTGCATGCCATAAGAAACCTCAAAATTTGATGTTTTTTGGGGGTGAAAAAAAAAACAAACTCGTGGTTTGAGCCAATCAAAAAAATAAGTGGCTAGTAAAGTAAAAAAAAAAAAAAAAAAAGAAGGCAGTGAAAAAAAGCAGAAACATGCGCTCCAAGCCCTGTTTGCTCCTGATTCCCCCCACTTGCTTCTAAAATGTCAATGGGTCTTTTTTTATGTTGTGTTTGCTGTCCTAAGCAGCTGGGTGGGCTTGTTTTGCCAGGGCTTGCCGGTGTAGCAAATATTCGTACATTCTATACGTCGAAATATTGCATGTGATCATTCACAATATCCCCCAAATTTTGTCGGACCCGATATCTGGCTAATAATGGAATAGTCTTAAACCACTAATACCTTTGCCGCTTGGGAAAATAGCGGGCCTCGGATAGGCGTCCGACCTTTTCGGAGGCTGAAACGAAATGATGGCGCCGATCAGATTTATCAATGGCAGTCGCCGTCGGGCCCGGGGTCCGAATATTCAGGAGTTTAGGAAAACTGTCAGTTTTCCTTATTTTTCCATGCGGGAAAGGTACTAGTGGTTAAAGAAAAAGAAAAAAGAA